GTAGGGAAATAGAATGAGAAGCCAGCAATGCAGCAGTGGGCAGCTCTTCCCTCCACAGCCTTCACTTGGAGCTTTAATTTAAATTGTGAACAGACAAAATGTTTGTATTCACCCACCAGAACACACCTGTGTGGGCATTCCAAGAAGTGTCTAGGAGATCAGGCACCAGTGACCACCAAGGATCCCTTTACTTCCCCAGGAAACCATCAGAATGAAGTAAAATGCAGTAAATGTCTCAGGCTCCCCTCATCAAATTGAACTCATGCACTGCTCTGAGGGCAACAGGAAATTAGGTAGCTGGTTCACTTTGTGTGTTTGGAAGCTGCTTGCTGCTGCTGGAGGTGGGCACTACAAGAAGGAGATAGTTTATAGGAGCAGAGGTGGGGCAGTGGGACTGGCATCCAAGGCCTCCAGCCAGCTTCCCATCACCAGGTCGTAAAGGACACAAGCAAACAAGACACACCTGTGTTACAGAGGTGTGTGTGTTCACACACAGTGTGCTTTGTTCCATCTCTGCCTTTAATGCAAGGCTGCCTTTTATTTGTTGTTAATATTTTGGGAAATTGTTTTTACTTTGAAATGGAGATTATTCTTTAGCATTTTATTCTGTGTAATGTTCACAGGTTTATTATGTTCTTTATTTCTTTTGTGGTTTCTTTTGTTTACCAATTACTTGCTTCCTACAGCCTGTTTGATTTTCTTTTGGAAAAAGTCAGTTATTTTAGGTTTTCTGTATCTAAAAGTGTAATTTCTCACTGCTTATTGGTATGTGGGTTTGTGCAATCAGTAGTTACCTGCTTTCAGCAGCAAATTACTAAAAATGGGATTTCAAGTTCTGTTTTGTAGCAATAGCTTTCATGTCAAGTTCAGAGGAAAAAGAGAACAGATATGCTTATTTCTAAATGAACTTTGTAGTAAAAACAAATAAATTAAAATACTGATTAGGAGTTATAATACAGTTATGAAACATTTTCAGAAGTTATCCTTAAAGTACAGCCAGGAAGGAACTTCTTGGAAGACTTGCCCATCAGGCTTCAAATATCATACTCTGTTCAATTTTATAGTCCATTTTTGTTTGTCTAAACTAAAAGGCTTTACAAACAGTCTTAAAATAATTTATCATGTACTCATTTCTCATAATCTTATGTTGAAAGAGCTGTTTATGTAAGTATTTAGATTAATCTTCTTTTAAGGAATCATCCCAATTTTAGCATTAGATGTTTTAGTTCCTTGTAGTAACTGTATGGGATTTGCAACCTGTTTGTCAGCATTACTCAACACAATTTAGTTACAGGTTTATGTCTTCTGCCAATCTATCAGTTAAACTTAACAATTATGATTTTTTTTAATGTTAGGAACTTTTCCTCTGAACAGGAATATATAGAAAAACCAAATAAAACTTTTTTTTAAATCTCCAACATTGTGTCTGAATGTTACGTGGAATAAAGATTAATGCATTGCACATTGCAGAAGTCTCAAAAATCACTTTAATATATTTTGAAAGGATACACAAAGGTGAGTGCAAGTAATTTACATCATATATCTCATTTACAGAATTTTAGTTGTATGCCCATAAAAACATTTTAGATGTTTCTTTCAGTTTGTTTAATTTAAGATGGTTGCTTAAGAACATTTATTCTTCCTTTCTGAAAGAAGCAAAGGCAAAAATGCTGTGTGATATACTAGGTCCAAGAGAAAACCACTGGTTATTTCTAGAAATTAATTTTATGTGTCTCAGTTTATGCAAGCCTCTTTCTAAAAGCAAAAATCCCTCTGGAGTCAAACAGAGTTGGTGGGTTTTAACAAACTGTGCAACAGTGAGGAGTCTATATTCTGTAAAAATTAACTGAAAAAGGTAAGTTTTATCATGGTATTACATGGATGCATGAAAAGCAAATTTCTGGTTTACTCCACCTCCTCGGGTGTATTGTCTCCTTTCAGGGTTCAGACAGGCTGCCATGGATGGTGCCTGGAAACAGGCCAGAGCCTGGTCTGAACTCAGGTGTTGTTGTGATGTTGTTTGTTGAGCCAGGTATTATTAAGAGGGTGAACAGTAGTTTAATTCCTAATGTCAACCTTTCAGTGGAGAATAGGTAAGATGTTTATAATTTTAGGAATTATAAATGTTTTGTCTCTGAACTCCAGGGTGTCTCAGAGCTTGCAGAATTTTGCATGTAGATGTCAGACCATGTCTTGGCTCCAAAGAATTTACAGATTTCGCTCAAGTTACCTAGAAAGCAGAGGTGAGACAATAAGATTTGCATCCAGGCCATGGATTGCAGTTTCATGGCACTTTACACATCCAGTGTGTATAACAGAAAAGGATCACTGCCCAATAAAGAGCTAGAATTGGGGAAAAAAAACCCACAGGTATTTAGAGGAAGTATTTTAAAATTCAGGTGTATTGACCATACTTTGACCTAAGCATATAAATTAATCGATAAATGTCCATTGGAATTTAAAAATACCGTTTTCTTTTCATGCAGGGGTTCTCATGGGAGAGTGTGAGCATGGCTTATGCCTTCAGATTTAATCTTCCTCATGAAACAGTCACAGGTGGGTCAGGAGACTACTCCAATGCAGAAAAAATCTTCAGTCTTCTGAACAGAAAATACGTGTCCAAATGATGTTGTGGTCCTTATTAGTGAGATTCAAGGTGACTGAGCAACAGCTCCTGTAATGCAGCTGCTCGGGAAGGAAGCATGAAGATGAAACTGGTGGGTTTGGACACAGAAATTCCTCCTAGAGAAACTGAAGACGTCTCCCAAGAAGTAGAAAGCCCTGTTCACAACAGGAAACCTGAGAGCATGCACAAAACTAATTGGCAAAAAAGTGCATGTCACTCTCCTGCTATTTGAAGGTTTCCTGCTGGCTTTGTTGATTAAACAATTCCTAGTTGGTTCTATAATACAAAAATTATGCAACATATGCTAAGACAGATTTCCCGTTAGGCTGGTATTGGCTTAGTTAATGACGTTTTCAGTTCATTACCCGGAGTGCCCAGCACAGAGCTCTGCTCCCCGTCCTCTGTGGGGAGCAACAAGCCTTGTTTTCCCACACCCACCTACCTGATGTGACACTTGTTCTTTCCTCTTCTGCCCTTGGCTGGGGGTGGCCTGCCTTTCCACGCTAGCAGGTGGTGGAGGTGACAGGGAGGGCAACAGGCTGCGCCAGCTCGGGCGCTGGGGTTTGCAGGGA